GAAGGTTTTCAAAAAAAATTCAACTGTCTGCTCGCCCAGAGGCTGTCTATTCACCCAAATTGAGCGCTCAGCTTCCTGCTCGCTATTTTGATCGTAACTTTTATTTCGTTACTCTAAATGGGACCATAATAGAGTAATGCTACATAGACTTAAAAATTAGACTTGACAATTACAATCATTGATTTCACTGTGGGTTTCAGCATTTATTAGAACTCACTACCTATTCAATGGTTGAGATTATCAAGTCTATTTTTTAAATTCATATATCATTACTCCCCATAATATATCAAATCAAAGCTTTTGGTGAGCCTTACAAGACTCATAGACTTTGGTTGTGACTGATGCTGTTAAAAGTCTAAAAAAAGGCTAGAAATAGATATTTTGGCCTCTCGAAGTTTTTTCAGTTGTACGTTCAGCCAAAATTTAAATTCAACAAAATGCCCTCATCTCTAAGTTTCATTGGACACAAGGATTTAGGGGTAAATGATGGGCCAAGCCCAAGGGGTCAACTCATGCTACAAGCCCAGTTTAAATTAAGAGCTCAACTTTAAGAGATCCAACGCCCGAAGTGGTCCACGTCCAATCAAGCTCATCAGGTTTGCGGAGCTACATCAATAGGGGGAGTATACAAGGGTTATCCAATAGCCTCCTCCTAGCCACCTTGGAGTAATGGTCATCCAAGGCCTCATCTTTGTCGCCTTGGAAAGAGTCAATCCTCACCTCATCTTTGATTGAATCTCATGGAGAACACCGTAACCACCTCGCCCGTTGATAAGAGATCGTCACCTCCGTCAGATCAGTTATTTAATTACTATTAAATCGCTCAAATCCATTTTGACCGCCAAATTAACTATTTAATCAGAATTAAGTCGCCACCTAATCCGTTATGAGGCGACTATAAATTGTAAGTTCCGCCAACACTTAGGGGGCATCACACTCAATCGAGCATATCTCCCCTCTCTCTCTCATAGCTTGTAACTCTCTGCTCTCCCTACACACTTGAGTTAATAAAATATTCGACGATCCTAGCCACTCAAAGTGGACGTAAGTCATGTAGACCGAATCACTATAAACTTTGTCTTGCTTTTGTCTCTATCTCTCACTTATCAATTACTGCATTTTTTACTGTTTAATTAACAGGTGGTCTACAAACCTAATTTGTGTATCATTAGTAGTTATCCATATAATGATTATTTACCTGAATACTTTTATATCAACTTTAGGTACTGGGTCACCTATATTCATTTAAATTTATGGAATCTAATAGATTTATACTATGTGTAACCTATGTCTAAAGGCACGGTGCAAGGTAAGTGAGATTTGTGATGACTTTGGGTGTAAAAAAATTCAATTTGAATGGTTTTGAGAGGAATATTAATGGTCGTTTGATGAATCTATTTATGACTGTCAGATGAACTTATTTAAATCTGTCATATTTTATGTTATAGATTACTTGGACTTATAAAAATTAGATTCAATTAAGTTTAAATTTAGAATTTAGAAGTTTGTTTAATTAAACTTGAATTTGTATTATTTGGACTTATGAAATTTAAATCCAACTCAATTTATTTCAATAATTTATTTAATTGATTTAACCCAATTATAGACATTAATTTTTTAAATGTTTACATAATCATTAGGGTTAATCATAAATTACGTCCCAAATCATCTCTTGATTCTCAATTGGTACCCTCAAAGATAAAAAAATTTAATTTACCCCCTCAAAGAAAAGAATATGTATCAATGTGTACTTGAAATTAACGACTGTTAATATGCCCTCTAAAATTAAATGGATCAATAACATCTAGATTCTCTTTAGGTTTGACACTTAATCACTAGATTTAGAATATTACACCTACACCCCATGACGTTTGTGTGTGTGCAACACATAACCCTCTATCGTCACAATCCGTTAATATATCCATTAAAAAACATGATGTCATCCTAATGAACAACTATAATTTTTATACTATCTTTTATTTTGTGGGCTTATTGTAATCTAAAATTTAAAATCAAACTTACCCTTTAAATATCTAATACAATGCAAGTATTATATAATGTTCAAGAGTACTGGTATTATATAATATTCAAGAGTACTGATATTATATAATGTTCTTTATATTTAATGCAATATATCATTTGAACAAAATTATTTGGATGCCCAATTTGGGGACATATTTAGTTATATTTAGATTCTTAAGGGGTATAGGTGTAATATTTTAAATATGAAGGGTCCAAGTGATTAGGTGACAAATATGAGGGGATCTATATATAATTTATTCATTTAGTTTTAAACCGTAAACTGGATNTTGCATGTACATATTTGGTTGCAATTTGTCATTTTCGAACTTTGCTACATTAAAACTTAAACTCAAATTGGTATTACACTCTTGAGGTAAGTTGATAAGTTTGGGTTCTTTCTCAAACCTTGCTTGAATCCTAGATCATATAGTAAGCTCTCACGTTTTTGTTCTACTTGAACATACGTGAAGTCTATGTCAGGCTCCAATCGAGCTTGATATCATATAAATCTTGAAAAAAAAAAAATACTCATTTACATCAAACAATTTTTATGATTAAAAATTAGACATTTTATTCATTGCGCTGAATACAATTGAAGGAGTCAAAATTGAGTCGAACTCTTAAGAAAGTGGGTTTGTGTTAACAGTATTAAATGCTTTTGTAATATGTCCAACTATCTAAATTTCCTCGATATAATTCTTAGGGAATGATGGAGGTAGGTTTCCAGTTTTGACGTCTCAATTAATCTGTAACGACAAATTTTGTGTACAAAATTAAAACAAAACAATGTTAAATTACAATCGTTTGATTTTGAACAAAAAAATTAGTGGTGTTGACGTTTTTTAGTGTGCTTTTCACGTGCACTATTCTCTAATTAACAATAGATTTGATAATGACGAGGATCAAATCGATGTGTTTTTTGACCTTTGGTTTGGTGGTAGCTTTGATGAATTTGATGAGACAAAAACTTGATCAACTTGTTTTTTTATTTTCGATTTGTTGTTGACTTTGGTGGATTTAGATGGTAAGAACTCGATTAGCGTGATTCTCAATCTTCAAATTGGTGATGTTTTGATAAATTTGGTGATAATGAGGATTTGATCGACGTGATTATTGATCTTCAATTTGGAAATAACTTGGGTGAATTTGATGAAGACAAATGCTAAGTTGACATAATTCTCAATCTTCAATTTAATGATGGATTTGCTGAAGATGGGCATCTGATTTACGAGATTCTCGTTTTTGGATTGATAATGACTTTGGTGGATCTTCTTAGTGTTTTTTGTGTTGGATGATTAGAAAATGATTTGAATTTCTCGAAGAAGAACTTTGACGATGTGCTTTTCTCTTTAAAGATGGACTGATAAGACTTAAGTTAGAGGTTGACTTCAGCAGAGGTTCAGTACTGATCTTCCTTTTTCTTCTTGTGATGGACTCTGACAAAATTTTCTTGATCTTCTCTTCTTCTCCTAGGATGGACTCAGGCGGAGGTTTCTCGATCTTCCTCCTCAACAATTATCCATAAAATGATATTTTACTTGAATACTTTTATATCAGCTTTAGGTAATGGACCACCTATATTTATTTAAATTTTTGGACTCTAATGAATTTATATTATTTGGACTTACAAAATTTAAGTTCAATTAATTTTAATTTTAGAATTTATAAGTCTGTTTAATTAAACTTGAATTTATATTATTCTGACTTTTGGAATTTAAGTCTAACTTAATTTTATTTTAGTAATTTATTTAATCGGTTTAACCCAATTATAGAAATTAATTTAATTTTTTAATGTTTACACAATCACCAAGGGAAGAACTTTTATGCATAAATGTGTGTTTGGAGAAGAGGGGGGAATGGTGATGGTTGGTGATGGTGGCACATGCCTTGATGGCTGATTAATTTGTTGTTTGGGTAAATACGGTTAAGTCATTTTTTAAAAATTAAAATTGAAAGTGGAAAGAAGAAGACAAATTTAATTAGAAAATAATATACAATTTGGTTCAATATTGTCTTTCAATTCATACTTTACTACATAAATAAAGGTAATTTAGGAAATGTCAAAATATTTTAACTTTGAATTTTTCTTTTTGTTAGGAATTTTATGGTTCGTCAGATGATATGGGGCAAAATTTCAATCGGTAGTTCAAGTGGTAACATGAACTAGTTAACTGTAAATTCAGATGTCCAAAGTGTGAATTTTGACAACTCATTAAAGTCAGGCCACGAGGGATTTTATCGTTTATAAACATTCTAGTTCTGACATTGATGACTTGTCATTGACTGTATCAGAGAGTTTGAGTGTGAATTTGATCAACTCTTTGAAACCATATTTATCTTTTATAAATATTTTAATCTTAGCGTGAATAACGTACCTTTAATCAGATCGAGGTGAAAATTAGTTTGATGATATGTGGTGAAGGTCAACACTCAACATTCACGACCCATCTTCAAATAAATAATAATAATTAAAAGTCACAAGCAAAAAAAAAAAAAAATGCTTACAGATCAGTTTATTATTATTATTGAAAGGTTTGGGGATCTCCATGGAATTTGACGCAAGGGGTGGGGTCTGTGTGAATTTTACCTATATATTTTCTTTGGGATTTGGGGCTTACTGTTAGTTGATGGAAAAGGGCTAGGTTTTCGACTTTTCTCTTCACCCTCTCTCTCTGCACATTTCCCTGACTTTCTCTTTCATCTCTCTGTTATCCGGCGTAGCTCCATGTGCGAAGTCTCTCCCAAGTCCGAAAGACCAAAGCCTCAGTAAGTCCATTGCTCAATTATGATATTTTCAATCCTCTTTCTCAAATTCTAAGGTTTTGTTACCTTTTCTGTCTGGAAACCCCTATAAATTAGCATCAATGTCAGACTATTTACCTCACGAAATCATAATTGAAATCCTCACAAAACTACCCGTCAAATCCATCCTCCGATGCATACTCGTCTGCAAGGCATGGTACTCTTTGATCACAAGCCCTAATTTCATCGTCAGACACCTCAATCGCACCGTTTTGAGCAGCAAAATCTACCATCCCACACTTTTCATCAGACGTTACGACAAGAATGGCCAGAACGAGCACTATACATTACACCGAGAAGATGAAACATTTGGGGTTAGTTTTTCGGAACTGGAATTTCCATTTAAGATTCCAATTGGGTATTTTAGAATAGTTGGTTGTTGCAATGGGTTGATATGCTTGTCTTATGATTTATTTGGTGATATGACAACTATAATTCTATGGAACCCATCGATTAGGAAATCGGTTACTCTGCCAAAACCCAGTAAGTCAAAATCACTACACATGTTTGTGCTTGGTTTCGGAGTTGTCCCAATGACTCAGGATTTCAAAGTGGTGAGAATTGTATATTACAAAGGGTTTTTTAGTGGCTACGAAGCCCCTCCCAATGTTGAGATTTACACGCTCAGCACAGGATCGTGGAGAAGCATTAATTCGGCTGCTCCTTCATATTGTATGGTGGAATATATGTGGTCACAGGCTTTGGTAAATGGGGTTGTGCATTGGATTGCATATAATCCATGTTTTGAGTTCGGGTTCTGCAGTTTGATTGTGTCATTCGATTTGGGTGAAGAGGTATTTCATGAGATTGTGCTTCCTGAGGCTTTGGCTGGTGAGATTGCGACAAACTTGTCTACTTCTGTATTTAGGGAGTCCCTTGCTGTGATCAAGTATGATAAGGAAATAGGAACTACGTCATGTTGTGTGTGGGTTATGAAAGAGTATGGAGTTGCAGATTCATGGACTAAATTATTTAGCATTCATCTAGTGGGAACATTGGAGAAAATAATAGGATTTAGGAAGAATGGTGAAGTTTTGTTGTCATCGAGGAGCTGCAAGCTGGTTGCTTATGACCCCAAGATGGGACTGATCAAGGACCTTGAAATCCTTGGTGACACGCGCTCCTTTCATGTTGATACATACATGGAAACCCTGGTTTTATTAGGGAAATCAAAGCGTTAGTTCAGTTCCGGTACTCTCGGGTAAGTAGCTCTACGAAAGAGTGCTCGGTTGGTTCTCACTTGGAAGGCAGCTCGTAGAAACAAAACAGTTTTAGGTTTGCCGGTCCTTTATTCAATGAGTCGGCTCTCTATGGTCTAAAATAGGCTCCTCGTGCTTGGTTTGAGAAGTTCAGCACCACACGACCCGCATCCCTTCACCCAGTTCCGAACCAGTACGAGCACCAGATAAAGCGCAAGCGGGGTCTGGAATAACTATATAGTTGGGGCACCGAATATGCCTTATTTGTCTTAGTCCTATAATGGGTCTATCTCTGAGGCCAGAGGTCTACTACAGAGTACCGTTTCATTATCCGACACAAAGCAGTCTCGCATAAAAAGTCGGTCCCCTCCTGATCAANGCCAGAGGTCTACTACAGAGTACCGTTTCATTATCCGACACAAAGCAGTCTCGCATAAAAAGTCGGTCCCCTCCTGATCAAGTTGGGTGTGAAGGTGAGCTCCTAAGTCGGTCATTCCTTGCTTAAGTGAGGCTGGTTTAGTTCAAGGCCCCTGAGAGGGGTAACTGAATTCTTGCGATGCTCATAGTGGCCAGAGAAGACAAGCGAATGTAGTTGAAGAGGTAGAATGTTAGTGATATTAAATAGCAATTTGCAAAAAAAAGGCAAAATAGATCATTCCAGTTACATAATTTAGATCATATATAGAGATACTTCTTGAATTATATGAGATTCAATTACTTTATCATGTTTACTTATTTTTTTTATTAGCTAGTGACATCATAACAAAGCGATACCACGATATCTCTATTACATTGAATATTTTCTTGGGTTTGAGGTGGGGGTTTTGGGTTTATGTCAATATTCATCTTATTTTCCCAACACAATATTTCTCAGGGTTAAAGGGATTTGAAGGAGATACACATCTATTGCATGTACATATTTGGTTGCAATTTGTCATTTTCGANAGTGGCTTGCAGATTTTTTTTAAAGCTGAATATTTGGGTATGATTTTAGAAATGCTTCAACCTTTAAATTTAGTGAAGTTTCCCCTTGAGTTGATTCCGAATGTGTATTTATTTAAGTTACCATTGTATTCTGCAAGATGTTAGAAGGAATTGGCACTCTCTGTTCTAATGTAGTGAAGCCTTATATTTTGACATTTCAAGCATTTATGGTATGTTATTTCAACCTGTTTTGATGACAATTTTCAAGTGCCTTTTCTTAGCCAAAATTCACGTGTAGTAGGAATGGAAGAGATGCTGAAGAGAAACATAGCGGACCAGATAGACTATGTTGAGTCTATGACGTTTTTTTCTTGAAACCCCCCTTTTTTTTTATCAACTGTTATCGAAAAGTATAAGGATTCTATAACAGGTTAGGTTTCTAAAGACCTCAATCCTAGTAAAGGTTAGGATTACAAGTATTGGACATGTAATTTGAATATTATCTAAAAAAATTATGATTATCCATCGTATATCGACATGTGAATGCGACATTCGGGTTTGAGTTAATTGATACCAAAGGGAATCAATGATTCTTATTCGATCAAGTTGTGAAGTAAGCAAAATGTTGATTACACACGACACGAGAGATTGGTAAGAACTGGGAGACAATGATCCCTAATCTAAGTGGGCCCTAAACAGTCTGTTTTTTGTTAGGTGTCCTTAATGAAGTTCCTTTTGTCCTATATATTTGTTCTAAAAGTCACTGGTTCAACTCAATAAGCACGAAGGTCTTTCCACTCAAGCCCAAGTATTGAATTTTCTAGTTTTTTTTTTNGCATCAACACTACAACCACTACCAACCCAAAACCCACAACCACCACCAACCCAAAATCAACAACCACCACCAACCCACAACCACCACCAACCCACAACTACCCAAAATCCACAACTACCTCTGAAACCGAGAACCACCCAAAAGCCCCACCACCACCGAAATCCAAAACCACTCAAAACCCACAACCACCACCCAAAACGTCAAAAAAATCAGATATGTGACAATATTCTAATTCTTTACGGTGGTTACAATATATATATATATATATACTGTCATTGATATGTGTTTTTGATCAGATCAGATCAAAAAAAAAAATTAGATCTGTGTTTTCGCCNTATATATATATATATATACTGTCATTGATATGTGTTTTTGATCAGATCAGATCAAAAAAAAAAATTAGATCTGTGTTTTCGCCGATTAAATCAGATCTGAACCAATCGTCGGAGAGCTCGCAGTAGATCTAGTCGTCGGAGAGCTCTAGTGTCTGTGTGTGTGTTTTGCCGGAGAAGATGCAGTCGCCGGAGAAGGCGCAGTTAACGAAAAAGACTTCCGTCTGACAGAGCGCAGTCATCAAAGAAGACTTCCGTCTAAGAGAGTCTGTGGAGAGAGAGAGAAAGACGGAGAGAATGATGAGATATGAGACGACAAAGGCAAAAGAAAAAAAAAACTTTTATACTATGACTTGTTTTTGTTTCTATGAGAACTCAAAAAGGGGATCTCATTAAAGAGTAAACCATCTCCGTATTTTCAAAGTTTTGGTAGAAAAACTTGAAAACAAACTGGGCTTGTTTTCTAGTTTTATGCTTCAATTCTCTATTTTTGTTGAAGATNTGACTGTAGGCATTGATAGATATTTATATCTTTGAAAGTATAAATTAAAAAATTTTGTCATTGAGGGTATAGATTAAAATTCAAAAAATCTTGGATTGGGTAAATACAGTTAAGTTATTTATATCTTTGATTGGATAAATACAGTTAAGTTATTTTTATTGTTACATTAAAATTGAAAGTGGAAAAAACTCAAACAAGAAGACAAATTTAATTAGAAAATAGAATAATTTTTTTAAATACAATTTGGTTCAATAATCATACTGTACTACATACATAAAGGTAATTTAGGAAATATAAAAACATTTTAACTTGAATTTATTTAATTTTAAGGATTTTTACGGTTTGTTAGATGATATATGGTCTCAAATTCGATATTTCTTAGACCCTTTAAAGACCAGCTAAAAAAACAAACATTTACAAAACCAGTTCAAAATTTTTTAAAAAAAATATTCACAAGCAAAAAAAAAATGTCAAAAGTTCATTTTATTATTATTGAAAGGTTTGGAGATCACCTTGTAATTGACGCAAGGGGAGGGGTTTGTGTAATTTTTACTTATATATTTTTTTTTGGGATTTGGGTGATGAAAAAGGGCTAAAGTTTCGGGGTCTGTTTGGTTTGCGTTTCAGAAAAATAGTATCTGAAAACAGTTTTTGAGAAGAGTTTTAAGAAAGTGTTTTTAATTTGGTTATATATTTTTGAAAATAATTTTAAAGAACAAAAATTATAAAATTTGTTTGGACAATAATTTACAATTCTCACCAATCTTCAACTCTCTCTCTCTCTTTCACTGTGCATCAAGAACACCACCACCACCGTCTCTTGAGCTTTCACTGTGCATCAACACTACAACCACTACCAACCCAAAACCCACAACCACCACCAACCCAAAACCAACAACCACCACCAACCCACAACCACCACCAACCCACAACTACCCAAAATCCACAACTACCTCTGAAACTGAGAATCACCCAAAAACCCCACCACCATCGAAATCCAAAACCACTCAAAACCCACAACCACCACCCAAAACGTCAAAAAAATCAGATATGTGACAATATTCTAATTCTTTACGGTGGTTACAATATATATATATATATACTGTCATTGATATGTGTTTTTGATCAGATCAGATCAAAAAAAAAAAATTAGATCTGTGTTTTCGCCGATTAAACCAGATATGAATCAATCGTCGGAGAGCTCGCAGTAGATCTAGTCGTCGGAGAGCTCTAGTGTCTGTGTGTGTGTTTTGCCGGAGAAGATGCAGTCGCCGGAGAAGGCGCAGTTATCGAAAAAGACTCCCGTCTGACAGAGCGCAGTCATCAAAGAAGACTTCCGTCTGAGAGAGTCTGTGGAGAGAGAGAGAAAGACGGAGAGAATGATGAGATATGAGACGACAAAGGCAAAAGAAAAAAAAAAACTTTTATACTATGACTTATTTTTGTTTCTACGAGAACTCAAAAAGGGGATCTCATTAAAGAGTAAACCATCTCTGTATTTTCAAAGTTTTGGTAGAAAAACTTGAAAACAAACTGGGCTTGTTTTCTAGTTTTATGCTTCAATTCTCTATTTTTGTTGAAGATTAGAGAACAAAATCACAAACCAAAATTTTGAGATTTTTTTAAGGTTTGAAAATAAAAAACAGTTTTCAAGAATCACACCTCAACTTTTCTCTTAATCCTCTCTGCACATTTCCCCGTCTTTCTCTTTCCTGTCTCTCTGTTATCCGGCAGCTCCAGGTGCGAAGTCTCTCCCAAGTCCGAAAGACCAAAGCCTCAGTAAGTCCATTGCTCAATTATGATATTTTCAATTCTCTTTCTCAAATTCTAGGGTTTTGTTGCCTTCTCTGTCTGGAAACCCCTATAAATTAGCATCAATGTCAGACTATTTACCTAACGAAATCATAATTGAAATCCTCACAAAACTACCCGTCAAATCCATCCTCCGATGCATACTCGTCTGCAAGGCATGGTACTCTTTGATCACAAGCCCTAATTTCATCGTCAGACACCTCAATCGCACCGTTTTGAGCAGCAAAATCTACCATCCCACACTTTTCATCAGACGTTACGACAAGAATGGCCAGAACGAGCACTATACATTACACCGAGAAGATGAAACATTTGGGGTTAGTTTTTCGGAACTGGAATTTCCATTTAAGATTCCAATTGGGTATTTTAGAATAGTTGGTTGTTGCAATGGGTTGATATGCTTGTCTTATGATTTATTTGGTGATATGACAACTATAATTCTATGGAACCCATCGATTAGGAAATCGGTTACTCTGCCAAAACCCAGTAAGCCAAAATCACTACACATGTTTGTGCTTGGTTTCGGAGTTGTCCCAATGACTCAGGATTTCAAAGTGGTGAGAATTGTATATTACAAAGGGTTTTTTAGTGGCTACGAAGCCCCTCCCAATGTTGAGATTTACACGCTCAGCACAGGATCGTGGAGAAGCATTAATTCGGCTGCTCCTTCATATTGTATGGTGGAATATATGTGGTCACAGGCTTTGGTAAATGGGGTTGTGCATTGGATTGCATATAATCCATGTTTTGAGTTCGGGTTCTGCAGTTTGATTGTGTCATTCGATTTGGGTGAAGAGGTATTTCATGAGATTGTGCTTCCTGAGGCTTTGGCTGGTGAGATTGCGACAAACTTGTCTACTTCTGTATTTAGGGAGTCCCTTGCTGTGATCAAGTATGATAAGGAAATAGGAACTACGTCATGTTGTGTGTGGGTTATGAAAGAGTATGGAGTTGCAGATTCATGGACTAAATTATTTAGCATTCATCTAGTGGGAACATTGGAGAAAATAATAGGATTTAGGAAGAATGGTGAAGTTTTGTTGTCATCGAGGAGCTGCAAGCTGGTTGCTTATGACCCCAAGATGGGACTGATCAAGGACCTTGAAATCCTTGGTGACACGCGCTCCTTTCATGTTGATACATACATGGAAACCCTGGTTTTATTAGGGAAATCAAAGCGTTAGTTCAGTTCCGGTACTCTCGGGTAAGTAGCTCTACGAAAGAGTGCTCGGTTGGTTCTCACTTGGAAGGCAGCTCGTAGAAACAAAACAGTTTTAGGTTTGCCGGTCCTTTATTCAATGAGTCGGCTCTCTATGGTCTAAAATAGGCTCCTCGTGCTTGGTTTGAGAAGTTCAGCACCACACGACCCGCATCCCTTCACCCAGTTCCGAACCAGTACGAGCACCAGATAAAGCGCAAGTGGGGTCTGGAATAACTATATATTTGGGGCACCGAATATGCCTTATTTGTCTTAGTCCTATAATGGATCTATCTCTGAGGCCAGAGGTCTACTACAGAGTACCGGTTCATTATCCGACACAAAGCAGTCTCGCATAAAAAGTCGGTCCCCTCCTGATCAAGTTGGGTGTGAAGGTGAGCTCCTAAGTCAGTCATTCCTTGCTTAAGTGAGGCTGGTTTAGTTCAAGGCCCCTGAGAGGGGTAACTGAATTCTTGCGATGCTCATAGTGGCCAGAGAAGACAAGCGAATGTAGTTGAAGAGGTAGAATGTTAGTGATATTAAATAGCAATTTGCAAAAAAAAGGCAAAATAGATCATTCCAGTTACATAATTTAGATCATATATAGAGATACTTCTTGAATTATATGAGATTCAATTACTTTATCATGTTTACTTATTTTTTTTATTAGCTAGTGACATCATAACAAAGCGATACCACGATATCTCTATTACATTGAATATTTTCTTGGGTTTGAGGTGGGGGTTTTGGGTTTATGTCAATATTCATCTTATTTTCCCAACACAATATTTCTCAGGGTTAAAGGGATTTGAAGGAGATACACATCTATTGCATGTACATATTTGGTTGCAATTTGTCATTTTCGAACTTTGCTACATTAAAACTTAAACTCAAATTGGTATTACACTCTTGAGGTAAGTTGATAAGTTTGGGTTCTTGCTCAAACCTTGCTTGAATCCTAGATCCTATAGTAAGCTCTCACGTTTTTGTACTACTTGAACATACGTGAAGTCTATGTCAAGCTCCAGTCGAGCTTGATATCATATAAATCTTGAAAAAAAAAAATACTCATTTACATCAAACAATTTTTTGATTAAAAATTAGACATTTTATTCATTGCGCTGAATACAATTGAAGGAGTCAAAATTGAGTCGAACTCTTAAGAAAGTGGGTTTGTGTTAACAGTATTAAATGCTTTTGTAATATGTCCAACTATCTAAATTTCCTCGATATAATTCTTAGGGAATGATGGAGGTAGGTTTCCAGTTTTGACGTCTCAATTAATCTGTAACGACAAATTTTGTGTACAAAATTAAAACAAAACAATGTTAAATTACAATCGTTTGATTTTGAACAAANAACTGTAACGACGAATTTTGTGTACAAAATTAAAACAAAACAATGTTAAATTACAATCGTTTGATTTTGAACAAAAAAAATTAGTGGTGTTGACGTTTTTTAGTGTGCTTTTCACGTGCACTATTCTCTAATTAACAATAGATTTGATAATGACGAGGATCAAATCGATGTGTTTTTTGACCTTTAGTTTGGTGGTAGCTTTGATGAATTTGATGAGACAAAAACTTGATCAACTTGTTTTTTTATTTTCGATTTGTTGTTGACTTTGGTGGATTTAGATGGTAAGAACTCGATTAGCGTGATTCTCAATCTTCAAATTGGTGATGTTTGGGTAAATTTGGTGATAATGAGGATTTGATCGACGTGATTATTGATCTTCAATTTGGAAATAACTTGGGTGAATTTGATGAAGACAAATGCCAAGTTGACATAATTCTCAATCTTCAATTTAATGATGGATTTGCTGAAGATGGGCATCTGATTTACGAGATTCTCGTTTTTGGATTGATAATGACTTTGGTGGATCTTCTTAGTGTTTTTTGTGTTGGATGATTAGAAAATGATTTGAATTTCTCGAAGAAGAACTTTGACGATGTGCTTTTCTCTTTAAAGATGGACTGATAAGACTTAAGTTAGAGGTTGACTTCAGCAGAGGTTCAGTACTGATCTTCCTTTTTCTTCTTGTGATGGACTCTGACAAAATTTTCTTGATCTTCTCTTCTTCTCCTAGGATGGACTCAGGCGGAGGTTTCTCGATCTTCCTCCTCAACAATTATCCATAAAATGATATTTTACTTGAATACTTTTATATCAGCTTTAGGTAATGGACCACCTATATTTATTTAAATTTTTGGACTCTAATGAATTTATATTATTTGGACTTACAAAATTTAAGTTCAATTAATTTTAATTTTAGAATTTATAAGTCTGTTTAATTAAACTTGAATTTATATTATTCTGACTTTTGGAATTTAAGTCTAACTTAATTTTATTTTAGTAATTTATTTAATCGGTTTAACCCAATTATAGAAATTAATTTAATTTTTTAATGTTTACACAATCACCAAGGGAAGAACTTTTATGCATAAATGTGTGTTTGGAGAAGAGGGGGGAATGGTGATGGTTGGTGATGGTGGCACATGCCTTGATGGCTGATTAATTTGTTGTTTGGGTAAATACGGTTAAGTCATTTTTTAAAAATTAAAATTGAAAGTGGAAAGAAGAAGACAAATTTAATTAGAAAATAATATACAATTTGGTTCAATATTGTCTTTCAATTCATACTTTACTACATAAATAAAGGTAATTTAGGAAATGTCAAAATATTTTAACTTTGAATTTTTCTTTTTGTTAGGAATTTTATGGTTCGTCAGATGATATGGGGCAAAATTTCAATCGGTAGTTCAAGTGGTAACATGAACTAGTTAACTGTAAATTCAGATGTCCAAAGTGTGAATTTTGACAACTCATTAAAGTCAGGCCACGAGGGATTTTATCGTTTATAAACATTCTAGTTCTGACATTGATGACTTGTCATTGACTGTATCAGAGAGTTTGAGTGTGAATTTGATCAACTCTTTGAAACCATATTTATCTTTTATAAATATTTTAATCTTAGCGTGAATAACGTACCTTTAATCAGATCGAGGTGAAAATTAGTTTGATGATATGTGGTGAAGGTCAACACTCAACATTCACGACCCATCTTCAAATAAATAATAATAATTAAAAGTCACAAGCAAAAAAAAAAAAAAATGCTTACAGATCAGTTTATTATTATTATTGAAAGGTTTGGGGATCTCCATGGAATTTGACGCAAGGGGTGGGGTCTGTGTGAATTTTACCTATATATTTTCTTTGGGATTTGGGGCTTACTGTTAGTTGATGGAAAAGGGCTAGGTTTTCGATTTTTCTCTTCACCCTCTCTCTCTGCACATTTCCCTGACTCTCTCTTTCATCTCTCTGTTATCCGGCGTAGCTCCATGTGCGAAGTCTCTCCCAAGTCCGAAAGACCAAAGCCTCAGTAAGTCCATTGCTCAATTATGATATTTTCAATCCTCTTTCTCAAATTCTAAGGTTTTGTTACCTTTTCTGTCTGGAAACCCCTATAAATTAGCATCAATGTCAGACTATTTACCTCACGAAATCATAATTGAAATCCTCACAAAACTACCCGTCAAATCCATCCTCCGATGCATACTCGTCTGCAAGGCATGGCACTCTTTGATCACAAGCCCTAATTTCATCGTCACACACCTCAATCGCACCATTTTGAACAGCAAAATCGACCATCCCACACTTTTTATCAGACATTACGACAAGAATGACCACAACGAGCACTATACATTACACCGAGAAGATGAAACATTTGGGGTTAGTTTTTCGGAACTGGAATTTCCATTTAAGAGTCCAATTGGGTATTTTAGAATAGTTGGTGGTTGCAATGGGTTGATATGCTTGTCTGATGATTTATTTGGTGATATGGAAACTATAATTCTGTGGAACCCATCGATTAGGAAATCGGTTACTCTGCCAAAACCCAGTAAGCCAAAATCACCACACATGTTTGTGCTTGGTTTCGGAGTGGACCCAATGACTCAAGATTTCAAAGTGGTGAGAATTGTATATTACAAAGGGTTTTTTAATGGCTACGAAGCCCCTCCCGATGTTGAGATTTACACGCTTAGCACGGGATCGTGGAGAAGCATTAATTCGGCTGCTCCTTCATATTGTATGGTGGAATTTATGTGGTCACAGGCTTTGGTAAATGGGGTTGTGCATTGGATTGCAAATAATCGGCGTTTCGAGTTCAGGTTCCGTAGTTTGATAGTGTCATTTGATCTGGGTGAAGAGGTATTTGATGAGATTGTGCTTCCTGATGCTTTGGCTGGTGAGATTGCGACAAACTTGTCTATTTCTGTATTTAGGGAATCTCTTGCTGTGATCGAATACGATAAAGAAATAGGAACTATGTCATGTTGTGTGTGGGTTATGAAAGAGTATGGAGTTGCAGAGTCATGGACTAGATTATTTAATATTGATCTAGAGGGAACATTGGAGAAAATAATAGGATTTAGGAAGAATGGTGAAGTTTTGCTGTCACCGAGGAGCTGCAAGCTGGTTGCTTATGACCCCAAGACGGGACTGATCAAGGACCTTGAAATCCTTGGGAACACACGCTCTTTTCATGTTGATACATACATGGAAACCCTGGTTTTGTTACAAGAGATAGTTCCTCAGATGGGTAACTGAATTCTTCTGATGCCCAGAGTGGCCAGAGAAGATGTAGTTGAAGAGTAGCAGTGAGATAGAATGTTTGTGATATTAAATAACAATTTGAAAAAACAGGCAAAATATATCTTTCCAGACTTCCAGTTACATAATTTAGCCACTGTGTTTCTGACATGGATCACTGCTACCTTAACATCGTGTCAATGCCTTTTTATGATCACATGGTCTCCTTTCTATGCAGGGAATAAGGATTACAGTAATTGGGTCATAGTCATACATGATTTTTTTGCAGCTAATACATTTTTTCCAAGGAACAGATTCACATGCCCCCGCCCCCGCCCCCCCACCCTAGAAAACCTTGCAGATGTTCATGTAAGATGATGGCTATTAATTATCTAATGCGTCTTAATGCATCTTGTTGCACTTTCTGTGTTTTTTGTGCATGATGAGAAGATTATTTTTGAAATAAGGAAAGTTTGTAATTAGTTTTGATTGCTTTGAGTTATTATGATCCTTTCTGTATGACGTTTAGCAATCAAAAAATACTGCCGAATGTTTTCTTGGGAGAGTGGCTTGCAGATTTTTTTTAAAGCTGAATATTTGGGTATGATTTTAGAAATGCTTCGACCTGAAAATTTAGTGAAGTTTCCCCTTGAGTTGATTCCAAATGTGTATTTATTTAAGTTACCATTGTATTCTGCAAGATGTTAGAAGGAATTGGCACTCTCTGTTCTAATGTAGTGAAGCCTTATATTTTGACATTTCAAGCATTTATGGTATGTTATTTCAACCTGTTTTGATGACAATTTTCAAGTGCCTTTTCTTAGCCAAAATTCACGTGTAGTAGGAATGGAAGAGATGCTGAAGAGAAACATAGCGGACCAGATAGACTATGTTGAGTCTATGACGTTTTTTTCTTGAAAACCCCTTTTTTTTCTATCAACTGTTATCGAAAAGTATAAGGATTCTATAACAGGTTAGGTTTCTAAAGACCTCAATCCTAGTAAAGGTTAGGATTACAAGTATTGGACATGTAATTTGAATATTATCTAAAAAAATTATGATTATCCATCGTATATCGACATGTGAATGCGACATTCGGGTTTGAGTTAATTGATACCAAAGGGAATCAATGATTCTTATTCGATCAAGTTGTGAAGTAAGCAAAATGTTGATTACACTCGACACGAGAGATTGGTAAGAACTGGGAGACAATGATCCCTAATCTAAGTGGGCCCTAAACAGTCTGTTTTTTGTTAGGTGTCCTTAATGAAGTTCCTTTTGTCCTATATATTTGTTCTAAAAGTCACTGGTTCAACTCAATAAGCACGAAGGTCTTTCCACTCAAGCCCAAGTATTGAATTTTCTAGTTTTTTTTTTGATCAACGCAAACAAAGAAATTGTATCATTAAAAGTAAAAAAATTGAGGTTACAATCAGTTAAAAGTAAAGTCGAAAGCTGGCGGGAGGGGGGAGCCTAACCAATTCAACGGGAGTGAATGTTTAACAATGTAGCTGCGACCCAGTGAACTACCTTAATGAAGGCTCTAGGCTTATGTAAGAAACTAAAGTTGTACAACCTAGCCAAGTGTCTAGTATCTTCAATAATTACACTAATTTCCCATGGGAAAACGTCTTCATTTGAGCTGAGTTTAATGATGTTGAGGCAGTCATTCATGATAATAACGTTTCTGATCAGATGGGCTTCCGCCAAAAGGTAGGCTTGTCTCACTGCCTCAGCTTCAGAGAAAAGACTTGAAACCGTAGGGAGAGATTTTGCACAGCCATACACGAGTTCCCCATTATCCTTGCAAATCACAACTCCACAAGCAGCTTTGGAAGAGGCAGACTTAAAGGCACCATCACAAAAAAATCGAAAATCACAGGCCAATGCTGATTGCCCCTCATAACACACAACTGGAGAGCCCCTTTGTTCCTTTGGTGCTCCAACCTCACTGATTCTGAGCTGATCACTCCACATTGCTTTGGCACGAATAACAGTAGCATAAGCATTAACCTTCTCCATATTAAAGATGCACTGGTTTCTTGCTTTCCATATTTCTCAACCCACTGTAGCCATTTTACCCAACAATTCGAGTCTATACTGAGCTCCCTGTACCGACTGAATGAGCATGGATGATCTTTGAGCCACAGACAAGAAAGATGAAACATCCCCTTGAAACATAAGATTCACCCCAAACCACACACATTTAGTCCATTCACAATCAAACAACATATGCTTAGTGGATTCCGGAGCGAGCATGCAAATCTGGCACAAAGAAGATAGGGCACACTTTCTCTTGANCTCCTTTGTTCCTTTGATGCTCCAACCTCACTGATTCTGAGTTGATCACTCCACATAGCTTTGGCACGAATAACAGTAGCATAAGCATTAACCTTCTCCATATTAAAGATGCACTGGTTTCTTGCTTTCCATATTTCTCAACCCACTGCAGCCATTTTACCCAACAATTCGAGTCTATACTGAGCTCCCTGTACCGACTGAATGAGCATGGATGATCTTTGAGCCACAAACAAGAAAGATGAAACATCCCCTTGAAACATAAGATTCACCCCAAACCACACACATTTAGTCCATTCACAATCAAACAACATATGCTTAGTGGATTCCGGAGCGAGCATGCAAATCTGGCACAAAGAAGATAGGGCACACTTTCTCTTGATCAAATTTTCCCTTGTAGCTAGAATGTTAAGACAGGCTTTCCACCAAAAGTGTCTAATTTTTGGGACCACCTTCATACTCCAAATGGACTGCCATAATTTGGGATGTGGGGAAAAGGAGGTGCTAGCCCCCGACTGATCCAAACCAGGCTTGCACCCCAGTCTGTAACCAGATCTGACTATGTGAACTCCCTTATTGCTAGGACGCCAAATTCTTCTATCCTTTCCCCCTCTAACTGACAGGGGAATGGTTTGAATAACCTTCATCTCCTCTCTTGAGATTACACTGCTCATAGTGGTAATATCCCATCGTCTGGGGTTCATTANTAACTATGTGAACTCCCTTATTGCTAGGACGTCAAATTCTTCTATCCTTTCCCCCTCTAACTGACAAGGGAATGGTTTGAATAACCTTCATCTCCTCTCTTGAGATTACACTGCTCATAGTGGTAATATCCCATCGTCTGGGGTTCATTATAATGACATCCTTCACCTTGTAAATGGAACAGGCCTGGGTATTGGAGAATTGATAGATTGGCTTGGTAGGGGAGGAATCCATTTATCCTCCAAGAAATTGATATCACAGCTATCTCCAACTTGCCACATAAGCCTTTTCTCCAGCAATTCTCTCCCATACAACAGGCCAATCCAGACTCACGAGGTTCTCGTTCCACATTTCGCCTTCATTAGATCATTGTTGGGAAAATAAATTGCCTTCATAAATTTAGCCCAATAGGAGTCAGGTTGGTGAATCAGTCTCCAACATTGCTTGGCTAAGAGGGCTTGGTTAAAAAGCTTGAAGTCCCTAAAACCCATTCCTCCCTCAGCCTTTGCTTCTACCATTTTGTCCCACCTCCTCCNTGAAACCCATTCCTCCCTCAGCCTTTGCTTCTACCATTTTGTCCCACCTCCTCCAATAGATTCTCCTCTTATCCTCACTCCCTTTCCACCAAAAGTTCCTTACATAGGAGTTCAACTTATCACAAAATGCTTTTGGAAATTCTACCACTGACATGGCTTAATTAAGGATAGCCTGGATTACTGCTTTAATTAACACTTCCTTGCCTGCCTAGGAGAGACATCAACCTTTCCATCATTGAAGTTTTTTTGCTACTCTCTCAAGTAGGTAGGCAAAAACATCCTTCTTGGATATTTCCCAGACTGTAGGGATTCCCAGATATTTNGTAGGCAAAAACATCCTTCTTGGATATTTCCCAGACTGTAGGGATTCCCAGATATTTTGCGCAGTGGGGGAGGGCCTGCATCAACAAAAGTTGACAATAGAAAATCTTTTGCTCCTCAGTAGTATTCNCTGTAGGGATTCCCAGATATTTTGCGCAGTGGGGGAGGGCCTGCATCAACAAAAGTTGACAATAGAAAATCTTTTGCTCCTCAGTAGTATTCTTGGAAAAGATAATCTCTGATAGTTGACATCGAGTCTCTTGAATTTCACATTATAAACATCTATACCCGGATTAAGCACAACCATCTAGGCCCCCTTCCGACTATTGGATCACTCCAGTACTTCGGGTACTGTGGACCTCTGCCATCCATTGTAGCAAAGTCATTTCATAAGCAGGGGGCTAAGCGTAGTTCTTTTGCATGTAAGGAACTTAAGTTATATCTTGCTTTCAATGATAATGCTATCGGAATAGTGCTAACACGGGATGATCAAAATGGTTAAGAAAAACCAACAATCTACTAGAATTCTCAAAGAAGTAGAAGCTAGATACACTAAAGCAGAAAACCAAAAAAAAACAAAAAAATTATTTAGCGCTTACATATTATATACAGCCCTAAAGTTAAGACATAATATGCCAGTGTACAAGAGGAGTATGCTAGCGTACAAGAGGAGATATACAATTTATGTCAGAAAGGTACGAAGTTGGACTAATTTGGAAACATAGGCAATTTACTTTATACCTACTATTTAGTCTTATTTTATTAGTAGCCAAGTTTTTATTCCTCACTCTCGTATAGATGGACTTGGTTCGTTCAATTCTTAGGGAGAAAAAGATCCAAGCAACCCCTTTTTGTCAAGTCCAGTTAAAATGCCAATTAGGACGGTTCTTGGAAGGTTAAGAAGGATAGGATTTCAAACCTCCCTTCCCCTTGTTTTCAATTTTTCCTCAGATTTTTTTGATAAACCCCTATTTACTCAGGCTCAGATTGGTAGGCAACCAACAATCATAAACAGGAGATTCCCCACTGACTGTTTTTATCAAATAGTACACAAGTTTTTCTGTGAGATTCTGTATTTCATATAAATATAAATGATATTAAATTAATAGTATTTTTAAAATGATTAGAATAATAAAAAAAAATTTGAATTGCTATTAA